AACTACTTTAGATTTTGTATGTTTGTCCTAACTATCCAATAGCATTTTAGTTGTAAATAATTAATTTAATTTGTTAAAAATAATATTGGAAAATTAAACAAATTAATAGTCTGTTTTTTTGTGTTTATTTGGAGTTAGGAATTATTGCTGTGTTTAAAAACACAATCTAAGCGATCATCTTAATTAGTTGTAATGCCCAAATCGAAAATGTAAAAAAAAATATTATTTTCTCATAAATAATTAAAAATGAATCGAACCTTAAAAATCGAAATATCTCAAAAACGGCTAACTATAACGAAAACTCACAGGAGAGCTTTTTTATGTTGAAAAGTGCGAAGAATCAGTTTTTTTATTCAAAAAGCAAAAAATTGCACTAAGAAAAAATTTTCGGTCATTTTAATACACTACAGGTACAGTAGAGAGCGCGCTCTAGCGGCTACAGTAAAACTATGCCCATGGTTCGTTTTGTCGTACCAAAAAACCCTCGTATACCAATTTTCACTATTATACATCGAATATTGTTCGAAATATTTAAAAAAAAACTATTTTAGAAAGTAAACTTAAACACCCTGTATTTCGGAAGCCACGCATTTTTCGACCCATGTTTATATAGACTTTATACATTAATTTTAAAAGTTCTATCGAATCCTTAAAGTTATGCAACAATAAACTGAAACACCCTGTTTATATATATATATATACAGGGTGACTTCGAAGTTGAGTCATTTATTTTAACAGTGAGTAGATCTGATCAAAAGAAATGTTTTTTTCCTTTACCATTTTTCTGGTAAAATTAAAGTAACAAAGTTATAGCCCTTTGGAAGTTTGAGTACCGCCCTGTCTCAATAATAATATATGTGCTCGTGTTTGGCGACAACGGATATAATCCGCCGTATCGGTTCATCGCATCGGAAACAAAAAAGCGAAAGAATTTGGAACGATGTTTTTACAATTATTTCATTCATTTGTATACAGTCAGTGTCAGTGAATAGTGGTATCTGTTGCGTGGCTCAAACGAAATAAAAAATGGCACATGTTTATGCGGATCGGTTTCCCAATCGAGTACAACCAACCCCTCGTGCCTTTGTTAATGTAGTACAACGAGCTCGTGAATCAGGTGACTTAAGACCTCACAGGGGACCTCACGATCAAATACAGGTCCGCACTGAAATACTTGTCGGGAGGATACTTTATAAAACAAGGTAAAAATTTTTTTTTTTATTTTTACACACACATATATATATATATATATATGCAGGGTGACTTTGAAGTTGAGTCATTAATTTTCAGATAATGATTGTAGAAGGAAGATAAACCAAAATATGTGAGTAAAAATAAAAAAAAAATAAAAAAAAATGTTACCTTGTTTTATAAAGTATCCTCCCGACAAGTATTTCAGTGCGGACCTGTATTTGATCATGCGGTCTTGGAGCACCGGCATGCCCTCCCCTGTGAGTCACCTGATTCACGAGCCCTCTGTACTACATTAACAAAGGCACGAGGGGTTGGTTGCACTAGATTGGGAAACCGATCCGCATAAATCCGTGATGCCGCGGCAGCATTTTGTAAAGACTCCCCCCCGTAAATAAGAATCTGTCCACAAGTTCAGCATTTTCGTTAACCATGTGCCATTTTTTATTTCGTTTGAGCCACGCAACAAACACCACTATTCACTCACGCGTTACCGACTGACACATTGACTGAATACAACTAAAAACATCGTGATCAGCGTTTCAAATTCTTTCGCTTTTTTGTTTCCGATGCGATGAACCGATAAGACGGATTATATCCGTTGTTGCCAAACACGAGCACATAATATTATTATTGAGACAGGGCGGTGATCAGATCTACTCAGTGTTAAAATAAATGACTCAACTTCGAAGTCACCCTGTATATATATACAGAGTGTCCGCAAAGTTGGGGTTTTCCTTTTCAGAAACAACTACCCTTGAAATAACAAAGGTAATGTGTAGTGAAACGAGGGCGCCCAAGTAAAAAAAATAAAAGAAAAAGTACTCACTCTCCAGTTGACGAGAAGGGCTAAGTACGTCTCTGCCCGAAATCATACCGCTCCAACAGAAAATGAAATCAGCTGATGCGCTACCGAGCAGACGCAGAAACCACATTGATTGTCTTACACATAATGGCACATCTTCTAACAAGGAAGGCAAAATGTTGCGTAAAAAGTCTAGGTATTGCATCCCGTCCAATCGATTTGGGAGAATAAATGGTCCAATGAGCATACCGTTCACCATGCCAGCCCAAAGATTCAGCGAAAATGTTTGTTGAAAATGTGCCCGACGGACAGCGTGCGGATTTTCTACTGACCAAACATGAGTGTTGCGAAAGTTATTCACCCCATTACGCGTGAACGAAGATTCGTCTGTCACCAATATGCACTTCAAAAAGTCCGGATTATTGTCTTGTTGATGCAACAACCACTCACAAAACCGCACTCTTGCTGGAAAATCGTCAGGTTGAAGGGCTTGTACACGTTGGACGTGAAACGGATACAGCCCCTCTTCACGTAGCGTTTGCCACACTTTAGTTTTTGATACTTGCACTTCTCTAGCCACGTCTCTAGTGCTTGTTGTTTTTTGAAACGCAATCGATTATACGGGTTCGTTTACCTCTACACGCGTGACCGTAACCATCGGTTGAAGGTTGCATACTGACCTGACAGACTGACCCCCATCCAGTTCTGTCGTCGGGCTGAGCTAGTGTCCTAGTACCACTCGGGGATGTCACGGGTCGCGGCTACAGGACGGTATTCAGATATTGTTGATGTTGCAGAGCCCTTTATCTCGGTTCCCTTAAGACATTGGTGTATATGGTACTAAGAAAAATTGCTTATGTTTTCAAGATCTACACGTCGTGTAAAGGAAAACCCCAACTTTGCGGACACCCTGTATATATAAACCAGAAAGGTGGAGTGGGAGACGACACGGCGGCGCATGCAGTCTCGCCGGCTTTGTAACGTGCTCGGCGTTCTGGAGTCCGATCACGCAAAGTATGCGTGAATATCTTTGGGTTTAGTTTCTTTATTCGATAAGTGGACTGTAAGAACACCAAAATCTGCCGATCAGAGGCGGATCTAAAATATATTTTTGGAGAGTTCATATGATGGATTTGAAATTACCCGCTCAAGAAAGCGCGGGGGAAGGAGCTCAGGGTTCATACTCAGGAAGATGCCCGTCAACGATAGAAAATTGAAGAGAGGGATCCGCACAAATTAAAAATGCGTTCGATTTTTTTCAACTCAAATATTCCAAGGGATCCAGCCTCAGTACACCAAAAGGCAAATGTGTAACGTATTCAATCTTATTTACGACCAGTCACATCACCAGCGTGTGACGTCCAAATTCGCGTGATCCTATATTGTCCAGCGGGACATTCATAATGCCTTTGAATAGACTGTAGATTAAGATGTTTCCCCACTATCGATCTTATAAACCTTTTTGAAGTTGACAAAGTGTTATTTATAAGTATGGATTAGGAATCTCACAAGAACGATTGCGATAGCTCGCGAATCACAGCTAAGAACATTCTCTATCTTACATTCTCGAAGAAAACAAAAACCAAATCACAATCGACACCGGGCTACCATGTAAACTGATTTATACACTCGAAAAAAAACGGCATACGACTACGATCATACGATGGATAAAATGTAAAAAATGTGGGTATTAGATATAGTTGCCATGTCGATCTAATAATTCTATTTCAATTGAAAATATGGTAAATTATAACTGAGAAAACTGAAAGAGAAATGACTCACCGATAGATCGTCTTCTTATACTCGTGACATCGTCGCCAAAACAGTCCTCCTCTGCATCAAAAAAACTCGAAACTAATCACAACAAAGCCAATCGTCTGAATCACAATAATCCACAAGCGACACAAGACACATAAAATGGGATCAAACATATTTGCAATTTACACACAGCTACCAAATATACCACAATCACAGAAAAAAGAATCGCGTATTCCTATACATCCCCACACGCCTCATCGACCGTCAAGGTAGTTCTGAACACGGAACTGATAAATAACCAATGCACAGTTGCTGCCCTCCCGAACTACTCCCACCTTATGCGCCGTTAGGTGGACCAACGGGAGTAAAAAGTACTACTGAATTAAGGTAGAGGTAGAATATAACCAGGATATCTAGAATTTCAGAGAAAAAATGTAATACATTGCTTTACAACGGAATCATATTCTGTAGGCATAATATGTATTAGCTGTCACATTTGAGCGTGTTTTGTACATTGAATCGCTTGCCCAAAAACAATCGTACCTATTTCACAATCACAATCACAGACACTGATATCTACCGGCTTTTTTATGCATTCTATGAAATAGAAACACTGTTTACACGCACCGCTCTTTGAATGAGTATCACAGTCATCATATATAAGACGATAATTAAGATAATACAATTAATTACATCACTTTTTGTTACCTAAATGGGCATCAAAATCACGAAAAAACGGGAAGAAACCAAGCCTTGAAAATTCGCGCCACAGCCACCTGGGATTGCAACCAGAGAAACTACTGAGCTGCGACGTTGCCACATTGTCAATTATAAACGAAAAGTTCATCACTTCCACAGAGATATCACCTCGGCAACTATTTCATGAAATTACAATTCAATTCTGCTTAGAAATATGAATGGCCATAACAATTTCAATAAATTTAAATGGACTGTCAGACTGAAATCTATCAAACACGACACTAGCAAACCGACAAGAATGGGGTGTTTAAAAAAATATTTTCACGGAATGTTGCCTATAAAAACTATATCCTGTGTGTTTTGTGTTTTCTGTATGAACAAGAAGTGTCAAAAATTATCATTCAAAATCCAAACATTTTGACACTCGCAACAGCCAAAAACCGGGAAATGTAAAAATGTAATATTATCCAAGTGAAATTTATATATTCTACTAACTGGAATAAAGTTATAAAATAATATGGTACTAAAAAAATAATGTTCCCTACAGCTTGCGAGCGGAAGACCCAGAAAATCATAGAAGCGTCCATCCCCGAGAACCTGCAGCCCTTCAAGGACGAAATGACAGCCTTCATAGAAACCTCCAAGAAACAACTGAAAACCGAATTTGATACGTTGGACGAATGTCACAAGCAATTCATGGATACTATGAAGTTTTACCTTTTCAAACCCAAAACTGGAACGCTGGAAGCGTTTCCACCAAACTCTTTCTTTGAAATGTGGCTGCCGTTTTGTGTCGATTTCAAGGATATCTTCAAGAAGGAGCTCATCAGGATTGAAAAAGAGAAGTATGAAACAGATGAATCTTGAAAAAAGTAACGGGTAGAGCGGCCATTTGCGTCGAATCTTGCTTCTTCGAACGATATCCCTAACGTTGAGTTTGTTCATTTTGAATTATTAGTTTGTGTGATGTTGATGTGGTCATCAAACAATAATAAAATGTCGCGAATCCCTATTTTTTAGATGTACACTCAAGAAAACAGAAATGGGTAACTGAATCACAAAAATAATCTGTAAGCGAATTATAATTATTATACAAAATTGACATAGCATTATTAAGGGCAGTATCGTCAATTGTAGGACGCCTTTATGGTCTCCTTGATTTTTATAGTTTGCTACTGTTCCGTGTCAGCACTCTATGTTGGGGTTATGTTGCAAATTCTATTTGCATGAAATTGTTCATTATTTTGATGATTTGTATCATGTTATACTAGCCTGAAATTTAGTGCAATTCAAAAAGATAACATGCTTCACAATAGGATAGCGGGGACGCTGACACTGAACAGTAGAAATCTAGAAATACCCCAGCCTTCTAAAGGAGAGGAAAGCTATGAAAATCAAGGTGGCCATAAAGGCGTCCTACAATTGTAGGAACGACTGACGATACGGCCCTAAAGCTAAATAAATCTTCTAAAACATGAAAAAACTTTCTTCGTAAAAAGGACTTCTCATGTTTACTTTCATATTGTTATGTGACAAAGCAAAAGAGCCTTTCCGGCAAGCTCAGCCTAGGTAGTCGTCAAAATAAACAAACATGCACGACGAGGGGCGAAAATGTATAGTGGAATGATCTGAATGCACTGCGAAGCAACGGAATAGAGGTGGCTGATATCGTGATTTCTGGATATCGGTGATATCCGTGATCGTGACTTTTTGATATCAGTGATTCAAAAGCGTGACGTGATCACGACTTTCGAGTAACGAGTAGGGTATGACTTAACTGATACCCTGAGCTCACTGTGATAAAGTAGCATCAAACACTTAAGTTTGCGTTTGAAATATGTAGATACTAGGTACATATGTATAATAATAGTCTTCTGAAATGAAAACTTGTTGAATATATTACTATGACAAAATACATTCGAGTACGATAACCAAACAAAAATAAAGAATACGAGATTCCACAAAAATAAATATATAAATGGTATTCTAGTACTATATATAAAGTCTCAAAAGCCAACAAAAATAAATAGAATGTTCTATCATACTATAGAATAGTAAAAGCAATAACTAAATGTCTGCCATGTACTTCATGTTAGAGTTGAGAAATAATAACATTTCAACATTTTTGGTGCTCAACCTAGTTCGCCTGTCGCTTATAACTTGCCCAGCTTTCGAAAACAGCCTTTCACAGGGAACTGAAGTAGCTAAGTTACACAGTTGTTCCTGTGCAATTTTGGATAGATATGGGAGCATTTGTCTGTGTTCTCTCCACCAGAGAAAGGAGTTGCTTGTTCGAGGGATGATTTCCTCTTCCAAGTATCTCTGCATTTCGATAATTGCACGAGAAGTGAATGTTCCCTTTGGTTGAGCACTCGCAACGATTTTATCGAAGTTTCCCCAAATCGACAGTTCTCCATCTTCCTCTTGATTCAATGACGATTTGCTCTCATTAACTAAGCTTTCAGTTACGTGATTTCCAAGCTCAGAATTGTCTTCTCGTATTTTCCTTGCTATTAGTTCTATCAATCTTTTTTTCGTGTTTTCAGCAGCAGTTTTGTCAAAGAACGCAATATCCTTGAATTTGGGATCAAGAAACGTGCTATTAGATAAGGTACCACTCCTTTGAATATTACCAAGGCGTTCCTGTAAGCCTGAGTACCAAACTTCAACCACATTGTTGACTGTTGCTGTGAACCGCTTCTGATTCACCAATTTCACAAATACGTTTTGTAAGCCGGAACAGATGGGTATCACAAGGGAAGTGGTGCAATATGTATCTCCAGATAGAGCTCTAGACGCATCTTCGAATGGTTTCAGCACAAGACATAGTTCTTTGATAATGTTCCATTCCTCTACATTTATCACAGGTAGTTCCTTGTCAATAATAGCAACAGTGCTCTTAATGGCTTCTTCTAGCCGAATAAACCTCTCTAACATATAGTAAGTTGAATTCCAACGAGTAGCCACGTCAAGAATTACTTTAAGAGGAGTTTCGATTCCCGTGTTTTCTTGATACCTCAGGAGTTTGTTGTTCGAAATTGTACTTTTCTTGAAGTAGCGTACTATTTCTCGAACTTTTTCTAAAATCAATGTGATCCTTTCGTTTTTTAATCCATCCTTGACTATAAGGTTGAGCGTGTGTGCAACGCATCCCATATTTTTCCATTTCACTAGCTGTAAAGCTTTTTGTATGTTTGCTGCATTATCCGATACAGCAAAAACTATCTTGTCTTGTATATCCCACTTAGTGGCTGCTTTTAGGAGAAATGCAGCTAGATTCTCAGCTGTATGACCTTTTTCAAATGCAGAACACTCAAGGAGAACCGATATCAAATTAAACTCCTTGTTTAAAAAATGTGCAGTTACAGCAACATAGCTAGTGTTGGTGTTATTTGTGGAAGTCCAACCATCAGTTGTGACACAAAATGTTTTTCCAGTTGAGATCAGGTTTTTTGTGTTGGTCAAGCATTCTTCATAAAGTGCCGGAATTAATGTTTTTGAAATGATGCGCCTTTCTGGCAATTGATATGATGGATTGAGGGCTGCAACGAATTCCCTGAAGCCAGTATCAGCAACTATAGAGAATGGCTGAAGATCTTTCACGCAAAGATAAAGTAACTTCCTGTCAATTTTATTTTTCTGTCTGGCACTAATTTTTGTTTGCAATATGTTTGAAAAACTATCAACTTTCGTTTGAGTGATTCTAATTGGAGCATTTGCTTGGCATGCTATCTGAGTTTGCTTGGAGGTAGATGGGTGATTGTCAACAGCACTCTCCATAGATTCTCCATTATCTGTCTGAAAAAAAAATAAAAGAAAGGATTCAAATCCCCGTTGTGTATTTATATGTAGTATTCCACAAACGTTGATTTTGATACCTATAAATAATTAATGATGACAGACTTCAAATAATAAGCTATGAAAAATCCATGAAAATTATTGGAATATTATAGTACCAAAACAAAACTCTTAGAGATTAAAATCACTCCATAATGTAGGGCTGAAAACAAAGTCTAAAATATATTCACTTACCTTACTGCGATATATATGTGTATCACTCTCACTAGCGGTGATTGTTGATTTCAGGGTAATGGTGGGATGTCTTTTGTTTATGTGTTTTTTTCAAATTGCTGGTACTAGTTTTGTACGAAAATTTGCACTTGCACATATTACATATTGCAAAGCTTTCGTCAATCGGCTGAAAAAATTGCCACAATTCGCTTGATTTTTTTCTCAAGATTGGCGCCATGGTATCACGTTTTGATCTGCAGGCGAAAATAATCTCAAAGTAACCTAAAATCCAGCTTGTTTTGGTTTACACTGCCCCTTACGCTATACTGTTACAATGTTCAATATCGCTTACAGGCCATGCGGCGGCTTACGATTTTCGACCTCACGGCAGCCCGCATGCGCCACGCGCGACGCATGCGAACGGCTTGCATATTCAAAATTCAAACAGTGCCGTGAACGTTGATACCGTGAACCGTGATGCGTGATCGTGATCCCATCCCACTTCATCTTCGGCGACGCGGGTGCCGGGCGGATGTTGGCTCGGCAGCGCGCTTTGCGAAGTCGTGATCACGTCACGCTTTTTCACGACATTCAGTAACAGCCGTTATCCGTGATTCCAAGATATCAGTTACTGGATCACAGTTCGTGAAATATCTGACATCACTACAACGGAAGCATAAAAAAGTCACTGCTTTTAGAACATCTTGTAAATATAAAATCTCCAACATATAGTTATTACTTTCTAATATGTGTTTGTCTTTTATGCTTTTCAGGATTCAAGAGATCAAGAGAAAAGAAAATGAAAGGATTTCGCAAATCAAGAAGATGAAAGAACGGGAAAACGGTCTAAAAGCAAAAGTTAAGGCGAAACGAAAATCTATAGAAAACTTTATAGAGACCAAATGATTATTATTCCTGTAGATTTTAATATACACATTATTTATTTTGTGTCGGATATTTTATTTTATGTTTAATACGCATTTGTTACGAGTTTTTATAGTCTATGAAAATACATCATTTATTTTATATATAAGCGAAAAAACTCTTTTATTTCTCCTTCATTACCATTCTGCTTATAATAACATAGGATAAGAAAATGAAAAGAACTTTGTGAATCGTAGATTTGAGGGTGTTATGAATATAAGTGGCGCTCTATTTCTTGAACGAAATTGCATGCAAAAACAACAGGCAACGCCGCGATCTTTCAGCTCAGTAACGTCATGGAACATGAGGATACGGAGCATGCGCGTTGCCGGACCTACCGATTTTTCGGTATTTCTACCGAAATGATGCCTTTTTACCGAAATGTCGAAAACGTATTCATTTTCTACGGTTTTTTAAAATATTTTAGATATTTAAATATTAAAAGAGCTAGAACCAAAAATAAAGCTGGAAAAATGAACACAATCTCGCAGTGTACTTGAACTTGGGTAGTCGGGACGAAGATTTGGCTTGCTTCTAATTATGTACGCATATTCCTTAATCGGCTTACCCTGTATTGGTTTTTGTGCGTATAATACGTACACACTATTAGATCACCGTCATTGCTGCATCACCGGACACTCAATGAGAAACCCAAAGCTCGTTTGTGATTGATTAAATATTGAATTAAAATGATTGGTAATGAGGTTTCAGGTTCATGGGTTAAACAGAAAAATATAAACAATCTTATGAATAAGAATAGGAATTTCCAAAATGGTTGCAAAAGTTCTTGAAGAGCTAGTAGTATCTATACCCCTTGTACAAGTTCCAATAAAAAAATCAATATTTTTCCAGGAAAAGATGCTCCCAAAAACTTGTGTTATGTATGCACCCGCAATATAAAAATATCCTTTTTTCGAGCTGCGTCACGCAAAGCTCCTGGTTTTGCGATGTTCCTGATTTTTTCCTACTACCGATTTTGTCCTTGAATCTATCGAATTTCAACGATATTATCTACTGATTTCGTTCTTTTGGTCCGGCAACACTGCGGGACACTCGTTACTCGTTTTGTCAGTTTTGTGTGTGACATGTGACATATTCGTGTCAACACATAACGACTACGACATAACCTGAATTTCTGCATTGCATCTCTTTAAAGTGGTTTTGATCTTTTGAAATTCCATGAAAAGAGACAACCAAACAGCAAAAATAATAGATCAAAAAATATAGCACAATAATGAACCCGGTCAAATGTAGAAGTATTGTTCTGCAAGGTAGTATTCAAGCGACGAGGATATTGCAAGTATGCGGTTTTAAACATTACCCACCACCAATAAAATATGATCGTAAGTATAACTACAAAAAAAGATCCATGTGAATTTTACTATTCACATTAACTTTCGCAGATGTGGAATTTCCTGAAAGACCCAGGCTAAAGTTTGTTGACAGACAGCCACAACTTCCGCCAAACATTAAAGCTCCAAAGATGCAGAAAAAGTTACGTTTGATGAGAGGACCAGAACATATCCACAACTTTCTGCTACACAAACAGTATGGAATAATGGTAACTCATATTTTGTAAATTCTCAGTTGTAGGGAAAAAATGTTCCCTTAAAATATGATTTGTTATCAAACATGCATGATCTACCTTAGTATTCTTTCATCTATCCATATAATAAAACTTTCCAATCATATCTTGGACATTTTTTAAGGCCTTAGGTGGAGGTAGGCTCAAATGGGGTCATTTTGAAATGTTGAGGCTCACCATTGGTAGAAAAATGGACAAAGATAGAATGTTTGCAATATGGAGGGTGGACAATCCTTGGTTCCCTGTTACAAAAAAAGGGCAAGGTCAAAGAATGGGTGGTGGAAAAGGAGCTATTGATCATTATGTCACTCCAGTAAAAGCAGGCAAGTTTTTACTGAGTAATAAATATAGTATATCTATTGATAAGTTCATATGCTACAGAAAAAAGTTTTTTGTAGATCAGCATGAATGCTCACCTGACCCTAATATTTCTATATTTTACAGGTAGAATCATATTGGAATTAGGAGGCAAATGTGAGTTTTTAGAAGTAAAGGATTTCCTCACAGATTGTGCTAATAAGTTGCCATTTAAGGCAGTTGCTGTATCGCAAGAAATGTTAGATAAACAGAAAGCAGATGAAAAATGGAGGGAGGAAAACAATCAGAATCCTTATACAATGAAATACTTGATTCAAAACAATATGGGTGGATGCCAAAGATGGATTTCACCTCTTGATTTTAAGTATTTTTGTAAATATGTATAATTGTTAATAAAACTTTAGAATTTTTCTATTAATGTGAAATAGTAGAGTGATAGCCCAAATACGGAACTGTTGATAACTTTTATAACCCATAAGTAACAAAAGGAACAGAATACAAAATGTGTTTTCATCCATACACAAAAGTAATAGAACAATTATTGAAATGACCATAAATTCAACATAATAAAAAACGTTTTTCATAAAACTTACTATAGATTCTGAATAAGAGACCTGCAAGTGATTATACAGGGTGACTTCGAAGTTGAGTCATTTATTTTAACAGTGAGTAGATCTGATCAAAAGAAATGTTTTTTTCCTTTACCATTTTTCTGGTAAAATTAAAGTAACAAAGTTATAGCCCTTTGGAAGTTTGAGTACCGCCCTGTCTCAATAATAATATCATGTACTCGTGTTTGGCAACAACGGATATAATCCGCCTTACCGGTTCATCGCATCGGAAACAAAAAAGCGAAAGAATTTGGAACGACGTTTTTGCAATTAAGTGTTTTATTCAGTTCAGTTATACATACAGTCAGTATCTGTCGGTTAGCGTGTGAATAGTTTCTGTTGCGTGGCTCAAACGAAATAAAAAATGGCACATGTTTATGCGGATCGGTTTCCCAATCGAGTGCAACCAACCCCTCGTGCCTTTGTTAGTGTAGTACAACGGGCTCGTGAATCAGGTGACTTAAGACCTCACAGGGGACCTCACGATCAAATACAGGTCCGCACTGAAATACTTGTCGGGAGGATACTTTATAAAACAAGGTAAATTTTTTTTTTATTTTTACACACATATTCTGGTTTATCTTCCTTCTACAATCATTATCTGAAAATTAATGACTCAACTTCAAAGTCACCCTGTATACACATATGCTGCCTGATACATGAAGCAGTTTTTCAAAGAAATTTGTGCTGTATGTTCCTATAGACTACACTTTTTTATATTTACATTATGTATATCCTCTCTCTTTGAATTATATGTTCCTGTATCAAACTTAATGACCTTAAATAAAAGGTGAAAAAAGCAGGATTGCTCTGTTGTCAGAATTGAGTGATGTGGCTCTTTTATTAAGTTTAAATAAATATTGAAGACACGCATTTTATATTTCCTGGATAAGATGTTTGTTATCCTGTGTTAAATGTCGGTAGTATATCCTCCTCGGACCCAAGAGCCAGATAACTGGGACTTATTAGCAAAAATAGTGATTTTGGGTTCTAATGGACCTAGTAAGGCACAAACGAAGCAAATTTTTTGAAACAAAAATAGATTTTTGGTTTTATGCCAGGTATCATCTATGATACCTTGGATCTCCATCTACACAAAAAATATATTAAAGAAATGATAAGTTAAAAAAGTAAATTTATTAATTCAATGTTACAAAGCAAATTTATATCATAGAACTGCAAATTTACTTATGAAATAGTAAAAAACAATTTCTATTTACACTGCAGCATAGAAAAACATTACAAGCGGTACACCTGGTAAAAGTTAACATCTTGCATCCTGCTAAACGACATTTTGACCTGCTTTTTTGCTTATCATTCATAAATTCAGGCAAATGTAATGCGCTTTCTCGTCTAAATCCTCTTGCAGGTAGTGCTTCAACTAGCCTAGGCTTTTTAATTTCAACAGCTTCTTCATCTTCTGATGTTTCATTTTCTTTATCTTCCAAATTGTAAAGAAGTGCTTGTGCAATAGCAAATTTAAAATCCATGTAATCCATGATCTGTTTTTTCTCAAGACGTGCTAAAGAGGCATCTTCACGATATTCCAACCAAGAAGCAGCAGCAGCAAAATCAAAAAAATGATAAATGAAACGTATTGTCCATTTTTTTGTCCTTGACCTCATACAATATTTTCCGATGACCCGATCAAGTAAGTCAACTCCACCCATGAATGCGTTATATTCCTTAATAACGTTTGGCTGTGGAATCTGTATGTATTTATTGTCAGATTTTGACCACCTTTTGCATTCTCCTAGAGGCTCAGAACCACACTTAGATGACGCCATTTGCACTGGCCTAGAGTCAAACCATTTTACTAGGACCATCTTCTCGTCTTGTCTTACTAATTGATCCGATGAGCCCCTGCCTCGTTTCTTTAGAATGCTGTCCGATTCGAATTTCGCCTCTTTAGGAACTCTATTAGACATTAGAGTACCAGTAACAGTCAAGGATCTTGATAACATACAATCTACCAAAGGTATAGATGTAAAAAACCTATCCGTAAAAACTGAAACTCCCTTTGGTAGTGTATCGGCCAGTTTTAAAACATATCTCCCTCCGACGTTAAGCTTTTCTGGCGTGTCTACAAGTATGGAATCTACTGAAGTACCCTTCCCTTCGTACATTAAAATATCTAAAGGTATTCCATGTGGTGTTGTCATAACAAAAGCTTTGAGGCCTACCGGATTTGGCTTACCTCTTACGAATTGTCTCATTTTAACTTGTCCATGAAAAGGTATCATCTGTTCGTCTATTGACACATTTTCTGTTCTGATATTTGAACGACAACCTCGTTGAATTTTCTCTAGCATAGGCTTTACCTTCCAAAACCTATCTAGATCCCTTGCTTCTTTACTGACCATGTCATCATCAACAAGCTTCAGGCGCGATCTCAGAACGAAGAACCTATTCCGAGACATTTTTTCAGAAATTATGGGTACTCTAGTTTGTACACCCCAGTACATTTTAATGCGTGGTAGATTGTAGATGCCCATCAGCATAGAACATCCAAAAAACCTTTTGATCTCTGCAGAAGAAGTTCCTAAAGATTTTCCGGTAGTTTTCACTTCTCTAATATTGCTGAAATGTGCAATATTTTCAAAAAAATCGTCGTCAAGATATTTGCAAAAATATTGCATTGGTTCTTTGACGCTTCTGTTTATTTCTTCTTGAACAAACTCTCTCACTACTGATGGATAAAATTCTTCTTTATGTCTATACCTACAACGATCACTAATTCTCTTTACAATGTTTATCAAGGGTTCTTCATCGGAAGTATCGAAATTGTCATCCTGTGGTGTTACGTCAGGCTGTTGAAAAAACTCCTCCTGCTCCTCACCCGATTCGCCGATATCAATGTTATCATCTATATCCGAGTCATTCAAATCCATATTGTCTGCTAATTCCTGCAGTTCGGCAGCAGTAAGGGGCCCTAAAAATGGTATTCAATAAATACAAAATAAATAAATTTATTTTGTGTTATTAGCTTATTTTGTAACTATTAAGACTCAAGGTATCACCTACGATACCTAACCTAAAATACGCGCTGCAAATGTTATTTACATTTTATTTTAAATTCAGAACATGATAAATAATTCACTCACATATTTTTGTCATCTACAACGGAAAAATAATAATTTTAATTGATCTACTTACTTGTGTTTTCGTTAAACGCCATTCTGGTACACAAAGCACGTGCTACTGCGACATTCACTTGCTCGCTTTACAAAGCAAATAACCAGAATTCAAGTTACAGCCTGCAAACTGGACTCGCGCGAGTGTATCGTATATGATACGCTCGGAACTGATCGCGACTTAAAACTATTTGGATAAATATGCAGCAAATAACTGAGGTATCACCAGTGATACCCAGGAACCGAGGAGGATATGTAAACCACATTTGTTGTATATGATAAAACAAGTGTTTGAATCAAAGTGACCTTGATGCTAGTAGATAATACATCACAATATGCTGAGTTTTAATTTGAAGAAAGACTGCAGATACTCTGTGACTGTTGGGTGATAATGTATTGTCCATCAAGAGGCCAGAGTTTTTACCTTCTTTTGTGATTTTATATTGTATTATATATATATATATATATTTATATATACAGGGTGACTTTGAAGTTGAGTCATTTATTTTAACAGTGAGTAGATCTGATCAAAAGAAATGTTTTTTCCTTTACCATTTTTCTGGTAAAATTAAAGTAACAAAGTTATAGCCCTTTGGAAGTTTGAGTACCGCCCTGTCTCAATAATAATATCATGTGCTCGTGTTTGGCAACAACGGATATAATCCGCCTTATCGGTTCATCGCATCGGAAACAAAAAAGCGAAAGAATTTGGAACGATGTTTTTGCAATTATTTTATTCAGTTCAGTTATACATACAGTCAGTGTCAGTCGAAGGGTTTATCTCTGGTCAGTCGGTAACGCGTGTGAATAGTGTCTGTTGCGTGGCTCAAACGAAATCAAAAATGGCACATGTTTATGCGGATCGGTTTCCCAATCGAGTGCAACCAACCCCTCGTGCCTTTGTTAATGTAGTACAACGGGCTCGTGAATCAGGTGACTTAAGACCTCACAGGGGACCTCACGATCAAATACAGGTCCGCACTGAAATACTTGTCGGGAGGATACTTTATAAAACAAGGTAAATTTTTTTTTTTATTTTTACACACATATTTTGGTTTATCTTCCTTCTACAATCATTATCTGAAAATTAATGACTCAACTTCAAAGTCACCCTCCATTTTTAGCTTCCTCAAAATGAATGCCTAATGTCTCTCTAAAATGAAAAACGTACTTCGCCTATTAATGGTCATGTAATTTTAGAACAAATAGTTAATAAATGTATTTATATAATAAATCGTTTTTCTCCAATTGTTGGAAGAAGTCTATTCAAAAAGTATTTTATCCTATAAAACTGGGCATTTAAAAAATGCTCACAGACATTCACATTCAAATTTTTTATCTCTCCATTGGTATTCCTTAATATTTTATTCAAAACTTCTTTTTTTATAACATTCTATCAAAATAGCAGAGGTAGAAAAATCGTCCAACAGCTGGCAGCACCGCAATCCAGGTGGCAAGAATGACATGGTTATCTGTCACGACGGATGTCTATCCCGGGGTACCGACAGCAACATTTAGAACGTCAAAGCTGCAATTTTCATTTGCATTTTTTTAAGTGTTGTGCAACGATTTCGGCTAAAATTTGTCTACGGATAGTCTTTGGGACTAGTAGACTACATTTCAACAGTTGTCTTGCGGAGCCATGTTATCTTTACTCGGACCCAATCATATATACAATTTCTGATGGCGCTGGCAGGACTCTTATCTTCTGAATCTCAGCACATTTTTGGTAGGATCTTCCTTCTTAGGGATTGAAACAGCGACGATAATAAAAAGATGCAACAGCTCGTTTGGACGTTTATTCATAGTGTCAAACATGGCGAATAAGAATACGGTTTCTTGGTTAATTTTCATTATTTGGAGTTCTTGAGAAAACTCTCGTTCCATGAATTTAATTTGTCATCTTTTGTCAAAACTGACAGCACTGCGCATGCGTCTGTGGATTTTCTGCGTCTTTGCCAAATGTACGTAACTCAAGCCGAATCTAGGGATGTTCTCCATTACTAAAAATAAGAACATGCCATTTTAATGGCTTACGGGATTGATTCTCAACATTTTTCTATTCAAAGTTATTGCCAATAAATACTGTAAAGAGCACGACTCCGCATATTTGCCATTTGAGCTGTTAATTTAGATTAATTTCCATTTTCATATTAAATGGAAATTTTGACTGGCAACGCCGCGAATGGCGTCGTATTTTATGCCAAAGGATTATGGAATTTTATTTCATTGAAAATGAAAAATGAAACCTTAGCAGTAGCTAAATATATTATGAAAAATGCTCCAAACATCATTGCTCTCATATTTATGTAAGGTTTTCCTGAATCTGGCTGAATTTGTTAGTTCGAAGTTGAGCGTCCATTAGTAAGCTGCTGTTCCTGTTGGGTGCAGCTTGTGGTTTTAGGGGAGCGCCATTTTATTCACCTTTAGGCGGGGAACGCAAACTACACGAAATAATGCTTTCTACGCTATCCACAACGAGAAAACTAGTCATAGCAAGACTTTAGTGAGGTAAGCGCAAAATCATTGTTTATTAATTTATTTTGCAATTTAATTTCACAATGTGACAATTCATTGAGACGTCTCCTACTGTATGGCGTTGGTTTTTCATCAAATCAGTCTCAAAGATACCCTCTCATTTGGTACATACATAAAAACATGCAAATTTAGGTAGTAAACATAGGGTTTGACATTTCAATTATAACAAAATATTTAGGCTAAATGCTGATTGGAATGTTTCTTTTATTAGATAATCATCTTTGAGGAGAATCGGCATGGAAGATGGTCCAAACAGTGTATTGCCTGCTGCTGAGATTGCCAGCATTTCCAGAAATGGGGTAGTGTCCCCAATAATGGCAAAATTTCCACTTGGGGACAACAGTACAGCCATTGAAGACAAGGTAGACCGTATTGACTTGACCAAAATTAATGGAGATGCCATTTCTGGAGACCTATTTGAAAATGATGATTCATATGACTCTGAAAGTGATGCATTGGTGATAGATGAAAGCTTGCCCAAGAAAAAGAAGCATCAGAAGAAAAAACCTGTTATTGCAGTTCAGTCTGAAAGTATACCTGAAGAACCCAAACTTCAAAAACCAGACAATCCTTCTCACAGGGAAGTAGGTGCAGATACATTTCAGGAACATGAAGAAGGAACTACAGTAAATAATTCTCATGAAGATACTATACATCCTGAGGAAATACCAGATATAATCACACATTCAAATCCATTCTTTAATGAATCTCTATTTGAGCTATCCCAACAACACCACAACTCCCATGAAGATGTTAACAATAAGACTGAAATAGTAGACAAAAATAAACACAAATCTCAAAAAAGAATCAAGACAAAACAGAAACCAAAACTAAAAGAGTATGCTCAATACTTGGGACTGCAACCAAATGTTCAATTCAAGTGTTCCAAGTGCGGTAAAGCAGGTTTTGAATCACTGGCAACCCTCCATGAACATTTAGTGCAGTGCAATGCTGAAAGTGTGCAAGAGACTTCAAGTGACAATACAAAGTCAGGGTTTAAGTTAACAAGAAAAGTGTTTTTGTGCTCAGCATGCGGGACATACTATGAAAACTGGAACTTATATATGCACATGCTCGAGTTCCATAGACGCTACATTTGTTTATATTGTTTAGGAATGTTTTCAGTTTTAGAAGACTTATGCCAGCATATTCAGTCTCGGCATAATCTTGAACCAGGACACAGAAACTCCTTAGATGAGTTTTTCAGTGCTTATAATGAACCATGTTATGTTGTTTGCTGTGAGTGTAACAAACTTTTTAGTGAGCAGGACAATTTTTTTTATCATAGTTGTGCAGTGAAAGGTGGACCAAAAGCTAAAAAACCAGTACGACCTCAGATTACACCTGAAAATCATGTGACTGGTGAGAGTGAAACAGTAAACAAGGATGTTTCAAAGTCTTCAGGTGCTCAAAAAGTCAGTGATATAGAAAAATCTGAAGACACTGTGAAAGAAAGTATGAAAGACGACATTCCTATGGAAACAGAAAAAAATTCAAACAGATTGTCAACAGATGTCAGAAATGAGAATGAAGATAGCAATGCAAACTTAGGAGCTGCAGATAATGTTGTGGACAAAATGGAACCTCAGTATGCTAAGTCAGAAAATAATAAAGAGTTAGATGAGGCAGGGCCAGTATCAGATTATAGTATAGAAAATTCAAGGGATGGTGTGCCAGATACACTTGTAAGTCCAGAACCCGTAGAGGAAAAAGATCATTCAGAAGAAATGGAAGAAAAAGAATCAAGTGAAGATATCACTGAAACTAGAAAGGTACCAAAGCTGTCGCTTAAGCTGCCAAAACCAGGTTTTTATCCAGAACCTGATGACAGTGATGATAGTGAAAAGTTAACCATGGAAGTAGACCAAATTGAGAGTGAAAATGAAATAGACAATGATCCAAATAATATTAGCTCTGGGCAGGAGCAATATCAGTCTGCAGAAGCAAATCATGTTCAAGATGCTGAACCTGAAGAAAAAAAGGAAGAAAATGGGGATACTGAAAATGCTGTCGAGGTAACTGAGGAACCCCAGCTTCATGTGGCTGGCTCTGAAATACCAATAATCGAATTGGAGCTGGAGCAACCATTAGATAAGTTTGATGCAAAAATATTGCTTCAGAAGTGTTTGAAAATGACAGTGGCAACTTGTATATACTGTAATCATGCAAGAAAAATTGCTGTCAATGGGAGGCAATTAGCATTACATTGCATTGCAGAACATAGGTAAGATTAAAATCTGTATAAAGTTATTATATATATATATATATATATATATATATGTTAAATAGCTTATATCAGCCACTTTCTACTATTTTCAATAGTGGACCAATTCCTACCCAGAATTTGGAATATAAAAATTTGTCAGATTTTTAAATCTTTGATTGAAAATTATCATATTATTTCAATTATATGTAACTTTAGTAAGTAATTTGAAATTATCCCATTTTCCACAGTATATATATCTCTTAGGAACACAATCGTCACATCTCAGCATGGTTTTATGACAGCAGATCGACTATCACTAACCTAACTTGCATAGCACAGTTCATCTCTAATGTTATATGTAAACAAGGATGAGTAGATGTGGTTTATACTGATTTTTGCAAAGCCTTTGATCTTTGATGCAGTTGATCATTCATTACTTTTGTCAGAGTTGAGTGCAGTGGGTCTATCTAAAGGTTTGGTTTCACTTATGGAATGATATCTTGCAAACAGAACTCAAAGGGTTGAGTATGGGGTCACACATCATTTTCTTTTACTGCCACTTCAGGGGTGCCTCAGGGATCTAACCTGGGCCCCCTGTTAAGTATAATCTATATTAATGACCTAGCGTCACAGTCAACAAACCTCCATCTATTTTTTGCTGATGACTTGATAGTTTAAGTGATTGGTGTGTGATCAATAAACTTGATTTAAATCTTGAAAATGTAAGATCTTAAGCTGTTCTCACAAAACCATTTTAATAATGACCATTTATTAGATTGAAAAGTAGTTATAGATAGATGTCAGCCTTCCAAAGATCTCTTGGTGATTTTTGATAGCAAGCTACATTTTCTGAGCATAAAAGTGAAATGATCATGTCAGCTCAAGGTTTTGGGATATTATGTCAGAAATAGGTGTAGCTTTGTTGACATGAGAAGTGTGAGAGTATATGCTGTATACTTCATTTATGAGTAATCTGGAGTACAGAGCAATTATTTGGTCTCCATTCCAGCAGAATGATATTTCAGCAGTTGAATCAGTCAAAGCTTAAACTATATGCCCTATAAAGTGTATGGTTTTTATCCTGAAAGAGGTTTTTCTCATGTATGCTCCTTGAAAGGATGAATGACACTATAGTTTAGCATCGCCATTTTATGGACATTACAACTACTATAGTCAGTAATGGAATAGACTGTCCAGACTTACTAGTCAAGATTAACTTTGCAGTTACTTCAAAAATGACATGCTTCAACTCGATTTTTTACACTCCAACTGGTAGAACAAATATAGCATACCTGTTTAATAGTTTTGATAAGCATTGTCAAGGATATCTGATTAGCTTTGATAATTTTCAAGTGGTCTTAAGCAGTTTTACACAATTCTGAACAGAAAGTAACTCATAATAATCAACTTTTTTAATTGTATTTTACTGAGATATCTTATGTCTATTTTAATTATGCTTTTAATTTGTGTTCTTGTTTAAATCATAACTCTTACTTTGATATACTGTAACGGACAAAAGTATATAGACAAATATGAATATTTACCCTAAATACCTGTAGAAAATGAAGTCATACTTCTTTGCTCCATAAACGAATGCATTATTAGTGGAAAAACTAAATTCCTTGTTTTTACATTATCTGCAATGAACACAATAGAAGTCTGAATATAAGCACTTTTTTATGAGGGACAAAAATACTTAGACAAATTCTTTTCAACATTAGTTTAGTGCAGTTTCATGTCAGCAGAGGATTAGTTTATGTTCATCAAGTATTGTGGAATAAGTTGAGTGATTTTAAGACCATGCTGCAGGGTTCAGAAATTTCTTTTGATGTGAAAACTAAGATCATTGAGTTATACAAAGATGGTCAACATCAAGTTGACATTGCCAAAAATTTGAAGCTGGAGCTTAAAGCAGTTAATTTGGGCAATATTGAACAAATATTAAACAAAAAGGTATCTTGGAAGCCTCTAAAAGAAGTGGTCGGCCTAGAAAACTAAATGCTAGATCAGTTAGATTAATAGTAGTAATTTCGTGCAAAGATCTGTTTAAAACCCCAAGACAAATAAAAGCTGAAATCGAGACAAAAGGAATTGTCAGTGTTTCTACGAAAAATATAAGTAGAAGATTAAATGATTTAAATTTATTTGCACGTCGCCCGAGTAAGAATAATCTCGAGGAAAAACCATAAGGACCGATTACAATTTACACGGTTGCATCTTGATTGGAGCATCTGTGACTAGAAGAGGGTATGTTTCAGTGACGAATCCAAGTTCAATATGTTTGGATCAGATGGTGTTCATTACGTTAGACGTCCTAGTGGACAAAGATTGAACCCCAAGTACACTTTGTCCACTGTCAAACATGGAAGCGGGTCTGTTATGGTTTGGGGGTGCTTTTCGGGGTTTGGGATGGGACCTTTATATAGAATAGTTGGCATTATGGATAAGTTCGTATACACAGACATACTAAAGCATGTCATGTTACCCTATATGGAAGACAATATGCCCTTAAGATCATTCTTCCAGCAAGATAATTCTTTCTGGATGAAGAAATACCAGATCTCAAATGGCCTTCACAGTCTCCCAATATAAACCCCATTGAAAATCTATGGGAGTACTTTGATAAGCACATACGAGTTAAAAATTATTCAAACAAGGATACACCTTTTGCCGCTTCTACTTCTACAATCCATGCCGAGATGATGCCAGGCGGTGATTGATAATAATGGTTATGCTACAAAATATTAACACAAACATGGTTGGTTTTCTATAATTCATTGAACTTTGCTTCTTTTTTCTATAATTGTTTTGCTTTGTCTATATATTTTCGACCTTCATAGTTCCAGTTTTTTTCAATTAATTTTTTATTGAAGGGTGTCTATTGAATTTATTTATGGATAAGTGAGCATTATGCTATAACGAATTATGTATACAGGTTGGTGTATTAATAAAACAAGTTAAAAAAGAAATACAGCACAATATTGATTTGTGTATATACTTTTGTCCATTACTGTATATTGTACAGTTTTGTTATAACTGTGATTGGGTACAAGCCTGTCAGAATAAATATTATCATATCAATTAATATAATTTGTCTTTTGAAGTAATCCAAGACCACAAAGCTATGTCTTATAAAATACAAATCTCTAAAAATGGAAATTAGAGATTCTTTTTTGATGCATTATACTGTCTATAACAAATTTTAATATCACTGATCTTTATTAAAGCTGGTGTTACTATTTATTTTTAGATTCTCTGCCATTGTGAACAGCATAACTGCTGAAGAACTGATACCGGAAAGTTTTGTAAATCGCCTACAAGAATGCTTGGATGACTTGGAGAAAGTCTTCTTTAACTTGGATTCAAACTTCTCTGATGAAGCAGTCACATTTTCACACATCTTTGAGTGTTTCCAGTGTTACTTTAGCACCACAGTGCACAAGGAACTCTACCTGCACAATCGCAAGTTCCACTCAAAAAACCTCTTATTGTGCATCATGTGCAAGACAAACTTCTACAATTATAGTGAACTTATGTGTCATCTGTGTCCTGGCTTGTACATTTTGGATTATGATTTGCAGTTTCGTTGCTGTATGTGTGTCAATGACGATTTGCCTTCAGCTTTTAGATTGATGGTGCATCTTAGGTAAGTTTTTTTTAACTTATGACACACCTACGAGGTTTGTAAATTAAGTGATGAGGCAACGTAGCGTTCGACCTGGCAACACTGGAGGCGCCCAGCTTGGATGGGAGGCAGGGGTTACATTTGCGAACAAAGCGTTTCTTTTTGTGAACAAATTTTTTCTATTGTGTTCTAAAAGTGAATGACATGAATTTCAAGCAACAGTGTGCTATCTAGTTTTGCTTGAGACTTTTAGGCCCAGTGCAACAGAAACTCCTATGGAGATATCGTCAAGAGCCCAGATTTTTTCGGTGGTTTAAGGCAGGGCTGTCCAACATACGGCCCTTTCCTGCGGGCCGCTTCACGGGTCATGTATACATCACATGTATAAATTATTCTCAAATACCGAATATGCACAATTCTTACATTAACGATAAAATACAATAACATGTGACGCCACTGGCGGCCGATAGCAGGCCGCAGCGAATTTACTGGAAATTGGACCGATCTCTCGATCATCCCCGAATATTCGAGAAGCCACGGGCGCGTATATAAGAAGGTTGAATCAAGCGGGACTGGCAGTTTTGTTCTAGTGCTAGTGCGTTTCAGTACACAGCAACTCTAAAGCCTTTTTAAGTGAAATACTCCGTGAAATATGTCTTCACAGAAACGAAAAATAACGAACGAACATCGAGTTTATAATGACCGTTGGGAATCAGAATATTTAATCTCAAACAATAATAATAAACTTCAGTGCATTGTTTGTATGCAAGTACTATCGGTTCCTAAAGAATATGATATGAAACGACATTACACTACGTTACACTAGAAAACGTTTCAGCAATATTCAGGGGACTCGAGGCAGGCTATGATAACGGAATACAAGAAAAAACTAAAACAACAAACAAGTTTTTTAAAAAAATCTGACTGATAACAAGTGCAGTATTGCCGCCTCTTACAAAATAGCGCTGGAAATTGCCAAAGCAAAAAAACCTTTTAGTGATGGAGTGCTTATCAAAAAATGTGCAATAGAAATGGCGAAACAATTCAATGAATTAAAAGTTGCTGAAAAATTTGAAACAGTCTCAGTATCGCATCAAACAATTGCAAGACGGGTGGGGTGGACCATGTCAATGAACATGTATCCAGAAAATTGCGTGACGTCGTTGAAAAATGTAAATATTTTTCGCTATGCCTGGATGAAAGCACTGATCTGTCTGACATTAACCAGCTTGTAATTTCTATCCGAACTATTCAATTCGACTTCAGTGTAGCAGCGGAGATGCTTGACCTTATTCCTCTCCATGGTACAACCAAGGGTACAGATATTTTTGAAGCTGTGAATAAGTTGGTGTCAGACTACGGGGGATTTGATAAATGTTCCTGTATTGTCACTGATGGCGCCAGAGCTATGACAGGGACTGAAATTGGATTTTCAGGACTATTGAAACAAAACAGCATCAACTGTCCTATGATACATTGTATTGTTCACCAAGAGAGCTTATGTGGAAAATCTTTACGTCAAATAAATGTCATGAAAGTGGTTGTTAAAACAACTACTATTGTTAGAGGGGGCAATCCTGCTTTGACTCACAGAAAGATTCGTGATTTTTTGGCCGAAGTGGATGCTACATATGGGCACTTGTTACTTCACACCGATGTTCGTTGGTTAAGCGCCGGAAAGTGTTTGCAACGATTTTTCGCTCTATGCAAGGAAATTCCTATTTTCCTTAAAAATGACGTGAAGTCCGACAGTACGGAACTGGAAAATCAAATGGCAGATGCACAATTTTCAGCAGACCTTGCATTTTTAACAGACATGACATCTCACCTTAATGAATTGAATTTGAAGCTACAAGGAAAACAGCAGAATATTGCCAACTTATTTGGACACATAAATGGGTTTAAGAATAAAATTAAGCTTTTCAAGTCTTCATTACAAAAAAATGATTTTTCATTTTTTCAAGTTGTAAAGAACATTTCGAAGAAATGAAGGATTTTGAGGAAGTTTCATATTTACCTCATAAAATACATTGACACAATTGCAGAAGAAAAAGCGTCATTTCAGTTTTTACTCAGCCACTAACAATTTCTGTTGAGAACGTAAGCAGAGCAGACCTTCAACTGGAATTGTGTGATTTGCAATCAGATCCTTTTTACCAAGGAAGAACTGAAACTGGCTTGGACTTTTTTAAGTTACTGCTAGGAGAACAATACCCCAACTTGCGAAACTTAGGACTTACAATGGGATCACTGATGGGAAGCACGTATCTTTGCAAAAGCAGCTTTTCCAACATGAAATTTATCAAGTCAAAGTGTAGATGTTCCCTCTCTGATAAGTCACTTAGTCAGTTACTTCGTTTATCAACAACAAATATCAATGTTAATATTGACGCATTAGTATTAGAAAACCAACATCCTCAAATGTCCCACTGATTTTTTTGTAATTTCATATTTTTTTAATAAATAAAAATAATAGAAAAACTATTTTTGTATACCATATAGTATAGTATATACCTATTAAAACTCAGTAATAATGTTGTATAGAAAGATTTTATAATGCGGCCCTCCAAACTGCATTTTTTTTTGAAGTGGCCCATGGGCCACATTAAGTTGGACAGCCCTGGTTTAAGGCATTTTCAGTAGGAAGAGCCTTCCTCTTCAATATCCGATGAAAATATTGACAGAATCCGATATCTTGTGCGTACAGATTGTACGTTGACAGTCAGTACGATCGGAAAAGCATCAAATTTGACTAACATGAACATTCATCAGATCAAGAACAACTGGGTGTTGCATCACCATAAAGTTCCTTGTCTCTCAGCAATGTCAATAAACGAGTTTTTTAAAAACATTCCTGTAGCTCTCCATCCCCCTTATTTGCATGACTTGCGACCTTGTGTCTTTTTTCTCTTCCCAAAGTTGAAAAATCATCTCAAGGAAACTGGAACTCATTTTGGCACAGTCATGAACATTTCAAACGTTTGTAACCGACCAGCTAAGGCAATTCCAGTATCGGAGTTCCAGCACTGCTATGAGTGGACCCTCTGCAGCATTGTATGGCTTCAGAAGGAAGTTAATTTGAAGGTGTCAATATAAAAATTATTTTTTGATATAGAAAAAAATAAAAAATCCATTACTTAATTTACAGACCTCGTGTAATTGCATGTTCAAAGTGGAATTGGACTTGATGCTAAATCTAGTTTTTACATTGATTTCCTTTATGGTTGAGCTTCAAGAGTGCCCTTGAACAGAGTTGATATTGAGGCGGACATTGAACATAAACACATTGGATCCTGAATGTATTTGGCATTGATTATGTTTAGCTTGACCTTGAAAGTGTTTGACCTTGAAAACTGTTTTCATTAATGTCTTAGACGTGACCTTGACGATATTTCACATTTCTGTGACTTGAAATTTTCCTTGGTTATTCAGCAAAAATTGCGGAATGTAAGAGATTCTTTTGTGTGTATGTGTATGTATGGCACTTTGAAAAACAGTACCAGTCAAGGTTAATGCCAAAGATTAAATGCAGCTAATATTGCGAGCTTCCAAGATCGATTCTTATTTACTTTGAATGTGCAACTAATCATTAAACCACTAAATATGTATTTTTTTTTTTTAGGAAACGTCATAACGTGTGCGATGTCTGCTTGGAGATGTGCCATACTCAGTATAGACTATCAAACCATGTCTGGAAGCATAAGTTACATCATTTCTGCTACCGTTGTGGGATTGCTTATAGAAATAAACCTGATATCACTAGGCACTTGTTCTGGAAACACGGCACTGAAAGCGTCCTTTGCAAGGTAATATCTCCAATATTTTTTTTGTAATCAGTGACGAACAAACAGTAAATCTTATTACCATATTGAAAATGCCTGCTCTCCTACGATATTAGAAGCTAAGCAGTACCTTTATGGGTAACTGCTTGGGAACACCGAAAGTTGTTAGCTTTTCTTTTATTTCGTGGATGCAGCCTGCTTCGAGCTTTTATTTTCACGTTCTTTTTTAATATACTCCAACCATAACGACTGCCGAAGGCCTAAAGATTCATGTACCATGGGGCTATAGGGGAATACTAAATTCAAATACTCCCTTTTCAAATACAGATTTTCTAATCTGCCAATTTTGTAAATGGAAATCTGTACTGACTCTAGTTTCATGAAATGAAATGAAATGAAATGTTTATTATTCTTAGCCCTAAAGCTACTTCCTATAGTTTATAATAGTGTCTTACTCCAGTAATAAACAAAAAAAACAGTTATTCTAGATTTCCTTAAAATCATAGTAACTGCAACCACAGTAAATGCAACAATAGCAAATGCGAGATAATGACATACAGTTATCTTAACACAGAAAGTACATATATTATGCCATTTTATCTAAATACAATTGCTTAACCTTACGAATAAATACGTCGCTTCTCTAATTTCTGTAGGTAATGCATTAAAAAGTCTCAAACCATCACTAAAAAGACATTTTTGCGTATGGGATGTTCTAGCGAATTCTATGTCAAAAGTGTTACGTGACCTGATATTATATGCATGCCTCTCGGACCTCGGTATTAGATATTCCTGCAAGTATTCAGGCAATAAATGATTTTTTGTTTTAAAAATAAATAAGACATTTGACATTTCAACCTTTTGCTGTATTGAAAGCCATCCGAGGGTTTTTAACATTAAATTAATAGGCGTATAACGTGTACAAAATAATATAGTGCGCATAGCCTTATTTTGTAGTAACTGGAGCCTTTGAATATCAGTTTTTTTGCATGATAGCAACAATGAAAAACAATAATTAAAATGTGGATATATGATGGTATTATATACAAGAAGACGACTCCAGTGACTAAGACTTTCAGATATTCGCCTAAAAAATCCTATTTTTTTCCCAATTTTTTTACTAACATAATCAACATGCAATGAAAAATTTAGCTGAGGATCTAAAACTACGCCCAAATACTTCATACTAGATGCACTTTCAATTTGAATATTATCTATCTCAATACAAAATTTCTTTTCTAAAAATGTATTACAGTTCTGCTTTGTCCCAAAAACCATGTATTTTGTTTTTGTACATTCAACTTAAGCCTATTCACACATAACCAGTTATACAGAATTTCCAGTATTGAGTTCATACTATCTACAACTTGTCTAAAATCCTTACCGTACACATAAAGCAATGAATCGTCTGCAAATAAGCTCAGAAATGTATTTACTAAAACCCTGTTCAAGTCATTTATATAAAGTAGGAACAAAAGCGGGCCCAACACACTACCCTGAGGTACCCCAATTTCACTATCAATTGAATTTGAAGCCACGTTATTAATCTTCGTCACATGACAACGGTCTTTCAAGTAGTTCATAAACCATTTTAGTGCACTGTCTGTAATCCCATAGGTCTGCAATTTCTGGATCAGTCTTTTCCTATCAATAGTCTCAAATGCACGTTGAAGGTCGATGAATACACTTAACACAATATTCCCGTCATGAATGTATGAACGCCATTTCGAACACACATACTGCAGCGCCGACTCGCACGAGTGTTTTTCCCGAAATCCCGACTGTCCCTTAAACAACAGTTTTCTTGCCTCCAGAAACTCCCGTAACTGCGCACAAACCTCGGTTTCCAAGATTTTGTCTATCACTGGTAACAAGTTAATGGGTCGGTATTGTGCTGATTTATTTGGTGAGGACACTTTTGGAATAGGCACTATAACACTAGTTTTTATTGCTTTTGGAACTTTTCCTGTTGTAAGGGATGCATTGATCAAGTGAAGTAAAGGGTATCCGAGTACACAAAAAGCCGTTTTCAAAAACTTAACAGTACAAATATCATCCGCTGTTGACTTGTTTTTAAGTTCCATTACCCTTTTTCTAAGTTGATCAATGCTTATAGTGTTGAAGCTTGACAGACCATCACTTAACTGTGGCAATTCTTGAAATGTCGGTGCAACTTTTGGTATTTTGTCGGCTATTTCCTTTATGCTTTTTGCATAAAAATTGTTAAAATTGTCTTCAACAGATCCAGCATCTTCCTCAAATTCAATATTATCATATGACAGAACATTCTTGTTTTTGCTGCCTACAACTTGCTTTAAAGTTTGCCACATTTTTTGCTATCCCCCTTGCATTGGTCAATAGTAATTTCATAATATTTTTTCTTTTCGTTTCGAATAACACGAGCGTAAATGTTCCTTTTTTTCTTATACAGATTCCAGTCTGAATTTAATTTGGTTATTTTAAACTTTTTATAAGCTTCGTCCCTGTCTCTTCGGGCTTGGATTACGAACCTATTAATCCACGGTTGTTTGCGGGTTTGAGTGTTTTCAAGAGGTACAACTTTATTTACAGTTTCTGTAATATTTTTCATAAACTTTTCATATAATAGGTCCACATCTGTTGTTGAATAGTCCCAATCTTTTCCGTAGAGTTCAGCTATAATAGTGTTAATATTTTCCTTATTAAATTTTCGTTTATATTTCATTTCCTCTGTTTTAATCTCATGTTGCACATCCAATACGCAGCCTATAATTCGATGATCTGAAATTTGTGGAAAATCACCCGTGATTTCTTCAAGCAAGTAATTGTTAGTCACAATTAAATCAATCAGGGTGGCTGACGTATTTGTCACTCTAGTGAACTCTTGAACTATTTGTGTAAATCCTGCATCTGATACGATGTTTATTAATTTTTTTTGGCTTGGGTTCTCGGTCTCTAAGCGAATATTAAAATCTCCCAAAAAAATACTTTGATGAGTTGTAATCAAATCATCTTCCAGTAATTCCTCAAACAATTGGAAAAATAAGTCCATGCTTCCGTTCGGAGATCTATACAGTGATCCAACAATTATATTTTCCAATCCTAGCTGAACATTTAAGCATAAGAACCAAAAATGGCCGTGACGTACGACATTCTTTACAACTGTAGAAGTAACATTGTTTTTTACATAAATTATCGTTCCCCCTGTATGACAACTTTCAGCATGGGCAATGTAGTGACTATATCCATTAATATTCAGTTCGCTATCCTCAAAATCCTCCGTAATATGGGTTTCATTAACACATAATATAAGAGGATTCTTATCCAGTACCAGCTGTTTCAATTCATCAACTTTTCGTCTTAGGCCCTGTACATTTATGGACAAACAAATTTCTTGAACATACGTTGATTGCTATTCATATTTTGTTTTAAGCCTAGTCTTTTCCACTTGCCGAAGATATGAAGTACAATTTCGATCAAAAACAGTATGATTATATTCTATATTTTTTATCTTTAAGACATTGCTAATATATTCACAGTTGCTACAACGTTTATTACTGCTTGTACATTGATCTGCCTTATGATTGCCGGCGCATAGTGGACATGTAAATTGCTCTTGTTTGCAGAGATTTGCCATATGCCCGTATTTCCAGCATTTAAAGCATCTTAAAACGCTAACAAATTCATACAATAGAAAACTATCCCATCCAAAGCGTAATTTCTTTTGAGCAATAAAGTAATTAAATGCCTCATTTGATACCTCTAATAGCACATTAAAATGTTCCTTCCTACGAGGCTTATATTTCCTAACAAACGTTATTTCGCTTGTACCACACATGTCTTTCAATTTGTTTATAAATATATCAATCTCCCTCAGGTATTTATCATAAACACCAACAATAACAATTTTTGGTTTTTTAAACTCTGGTATCTGAATTTCGTACCGATCTGCTAGCGCGTTCCGGGCAGCCTCGTGTAGTTTTTGCATCGACTCGTCGTTTTCACATTCTATCTGAATCCCACCGTTAGCTGTATTTCTGACTCCGGCTATATTTATTTGAGATGGATCGACTTTGTTGGTCACATCTAACTTGGTTTTCACGCTGTTCAGTGACGAATTTTTTGGTTTAATTATCAAAGGCGGTCGTTTGGCTTTTACTACGTCACTCCACTTCTGCACGCTGGCATTGGGTGCTCTATCGCATAATGTTTTAACGACGCTGAAACACTCCTTGGTTTGTTCTAACACATCATTGGTTTTTTGTTCAAGACTGTCCAATCTCCTCGATATTTTTAGGTTTTGTATAACAATATTACTACAGTCATTACAGAACCAAAACAAATTCATACAATCGGTAATACACTTACTGACATTATCTTTTACTTTAACACACACATTATGGAAAACTTTTTCACATAACTTACACTGAATTTGTTTACTGTTTACTATAAAATTATCCGTGCACACGGAACACGTCCGCACACCACTCATGCTGACTACTGACTACTGATAGTTATTATGATAATGACATTTTGTGAAATTTTCTAATTGTAGTAGTAATGAATGATTTTTTCAATTTGGATATGAAAATAAGAACAAAATAGCATATAACATTTTTTACATTTAACCCCTGTATGGAAAAAATGTAAATTTTCTTCAGTCTGTTGAATCCACGTGTCATGACTGTTTTGATCATTTATTTTGTATCATATCAAATAGCTTGTTTGAAAATTTGATCATAATATAATTGTTAGAGTTGTGTGGAAATTACACAGTCAACCTACTTGACGCCATTTGTAGAAGTAAGTTTTCCTAACAAGATACATACTAACGTTTCTAGAAATATTCTGTTACAGCGATGTCTGCAGAAAAAGTGGCCGCACGTGTACCATTTCTGCACGCCACCAGCCAGTTTCACTTGCGACGAATGCCAAAACGTTTTCAGCAAAGCTGTTTCATTGAAAGTCCACAAACGGCTGCACACAGAAGAAAGAAAGCACGCCTGTACGTTTGAGGAATGCACGGAAGCATTCGTTTCGAAGAAGCTTATGTTGAAGCATGAGGCGAGGCATAGGGAGCCTGTAGAGGAGGTGAGTTCAACATTATTTTATCCGTCAGAGAATACAGCTTGTTACATGATATAGTCAGGGTAGTTGAACTGAACACGTTTGTATGTGAATAAAGACAAACAGACATTGGTCAAGGAGTGCTTTATTTCCATAATATGGGGTGCTGAAACTAGTCTGTTTTTAATTACATTCATCAAGATACGAGTTTTGACACAGGCAAATGAACAAAAACCGCATTAACATGTAGAAAATGTTTGTCTAAAGTTCTTACATCGCTGCAGTTCTTGCCAGCTAGTCTCGTTGTTTAGCGAAAATTTAGTCGACAAGTAGGATGTTTCTACAGTTCCCACGCAGTCCATAGAAATGTCTCCCCGGTTTTACCGACAGTACCGAACATCCGGCAACGTTGCTATGATTACCGTCTCCGCTTTCCACCACTGACTATGAAACAGGTACACCCAACGGTGAGACCGCGACACTGGATTATCCAGATACGCGTGTGTTGAAAATATATCTCTATCATTTTTTATGGCAAACCTTCAGGCAAATCTGTTGTGTGAAATTGTGATTTTTTTGTACTTTGTGTCGATTATTTACGTTAATATAATACCGCAAACACGTATTTCGCTCATAGAATTTTTTTTTCAAATACTTAAACGTGAAAAGGCCGTCAAGCGGAATCGCACAGCAACCCTCTGTTGCGTGACTCAGTGGACTACACAGTAGGGTGGAGCGAAAAATTTGTTTTCGTTATATGGCAATCTAATAGCAAAAATATGGTGCGTTTTAGGATCAAATTGAACCATATAAAATATTTTTTGATTTCGTTTACGGTAACTGCCTCCGCAATGTCATTGAAATTCAATTCAAGTCGAAGGAGAATCAGAGATTTGGCAATACTGTGCCACGACCTCAGTGCGCCTGCGCTTTTGTTTTCGCTCGCAACGATCACGTGCCGGCCATATTTAATTATTGTTATTCTTTTAAAACATGCCGAGAACTCGGAGTGTGTTTAAATGTCCTGTTTTGGGTGATATTTGTGAGTTAAAATACAATGTTCTACCTACTTACGACGATGTTATCAAGTTATATGAATGGACAAGACATCAACGAAAATTGAGGTTAGAAACTGCCAAAGAGCCAGTTTTTGCGGAAATAGCAGATATAGTGACATCCACGATTGAAAATATATGGCAAACTACATCTATTCCTACAGTAACACGAACAAGAATCATACAAATGTTGAAAGCCTATCATTTAAAATACAAAAATCTACTTAAATCTGTGCAAAGAGTATCTGAAGATAAATTAGAGAGATTTCGGCATAGTGGTAGGTTACTTTTTGATATTTCGGCATGCAAATGCAAAGAATTTATTAAGTGCACCTGCCCAAAGGATAAAAAGGTTCCTAAACAAGAACAAGCCTTCCTAATTGATCAAAGAACCTGTCGACATATGATAATCGGAGGAATCGATCCAATCATCACTAAGAAGTTGCAAAGCACTTTAAAACGGAAACATGAACGAGAGAACCGCCAAAATGTATCTTCGAATACGAGTACATCATCGTTGGCTGTTTTAAATGTTAGTACTTCTTCGGAAACGTCATCAATGTCAGATAGAAGCGAATTCGAAGAAGTTACTCAAAAGAAAAGGAAAAAATCCTCACGCATCGATTTTCCGACGCTCTCGAAGACATGTGACAGGTACGGAGTGTCAGATAGGGCTGCAGCCGCGATTGCATCATCTGTCTTGTTCGACATTGATTCTGATATTGGCGTCATTGACAGGCATAAATTACGTAGACAGAGAACCAAAACAAGAAATAAGTTATTGAATGAGGTGAAAATTTCGGAACTTAATGCTTTATACTTTGACGGGAGGAAAGACAAAACGTTAAAGATCGTTAAAAAGAATGGCAAATGCTACAGGACTTTGACTGTCGAGGAACATATCTCACTAATTCAAGAGCCTGGATCAATTTATCTTGGATACGTGGTGCCTAATGTTGGGACAGCAAAAGGAATAGAAATCTCCATAGCAGAGTTTCTAACACGTGAACAAATACTTCTTCATGAACTTATTGCAATCGGTTGCGATGGCACAAATGTTAATACTGGAAAGAATGGAGGTATAATAAGACTGTTCGAGAGAAAACTACAAAAACCACTCCAGTGGATAGTGTGTTTGCTGCACATGAATGAACTGCCTTTGAGACACTTGTTTCTTCATCTTGATGGGTGTACTTCGGGACCTAAGTCTTTCTCTGGACCTTTAGGAAAAGCACTAGAGACCTGTGAACAACTACCTATTAGAAAATTTCAACCTATTGAAGGAGAAATGCTTCCAGAAATGGCCAAAGATTTGAGTACAGATCAACAGTACTTACATAATATTGTCACAGCGGTTCTTACAGGTATTTTTCCAGAGGATCTGTCAAATAAATCTCCCGGCAAACTTTCACATGCCCGTTGGCTCACACGTGCCAATAGAATATTGCGTTTGTATGTAGCAACCGAAACACCATCAGAGAAACTGCTAACTCTGGCAAAATTTGTTGTTAAAGTTTACGCACCATCTTGGTTCCTTATTAAAAACAAACCCTTCTGCAAGGATGGAACGCGACATCTTTTCTTTATAATTTCTGCCTCCAGATACCTGTCAGAAGATCTTAAAAAGATAATCGATCCTGTCATTCAACGGAATAGCTACTTTGCACATCCGGAGAACACGCTTCTTGCAATGTTAACTGATGCCAAGAAACATATTCGAGAACTGGCAGCCAGGCGTGTATTGAAAGCACGTAGCACGCAGCAAACATCAACAATTAGATTATTTGAGTTGCCTTGCATTAATTTTAATGCTTCTACATACGTTGATTTAATAAATTGGCAGGAAAAAATAACGGAACCCCCTATTTTAAAAATCTTTTCTGACCAAGAAATTTGGCGCGTCGTCGAAACTGGGGATGAGAATCATTTGACCTTTTTGAAGCTTCCGTGTCACACACAAGCTGTAGAACGAGCTGTAAAAGTGACGACAGAGGCAGCCACGTCCCAATGTACGGAAAAGGCACGATTGGGTGCAATAAAAGCCAAACTGGAATCTCGGAATATAATGCCTAAATTTGAGACAAAAAGAAATTTTAAAGGAAAGTAATATATAAATATGTATATATTTTCTTACTATTGTTCTTAAAATGTTACCGTATTTTTAATTGTAGTTCTTCAATAAATATCTTAGATTAATTTTGCAAGTGATTCATCACCCATATATCATTAAACTAAGCTCAATAGTTGGTAAAATGTGTACTAATATTTTTTAGTTAAAATTTAGATTTTGTGGGGTCAGTGCGGAGGCAGAAGATGTTGGAAAAATTAATTGAGAAATTACATATATTTTTACTATAATATACTGCACCAATTGCTCCCTATTACAATTCAATATTTGGAAAAAAAAATTAATCCATACATAAACGCTCCACCCTACTACACAGTGGAGCAAGTTCGTAAACAATCAAGGCCACGGCTCGCACTGTAATCAAAAGTTAGCGTGAATCTTTAGTAAACTCAAAATTACACTCTAACAAAACCGAATCAAAAATCTGTTTAGTTCACCTCAAAATTAATTCGTGTACCAAGTCAAAAAGCCTAGGTGTTTCCTCTTAAACTAAGCATATCTGTTTTTCTTTGCTCTTCTCCTTTTCTCTTCTCTTTCCCTTTCTCTTTTTCATTGACTTTGTCTGGTTTCTGGGCAACCAGGACTGACAGATTCGACTAACGTACATCAGACAGTGACTAATGGGCAAAGGTCCTACGGACCGCCCAGACAAATAAATGACGAATAGTTAAGTGAAAAGGCCGTCTGTCACGATACGATTTTGTGCTAAATTTCGTACAAAATTAAGGAGTGTCAGGCAGCATTTAGTACATAATTTTGTATGAACAAATTTGGTGTTAAATTTTGTGAAAACTGTTCTAAATAATATCATACTAAAAGTGGGCAGATGACTACTGCGCATTTGGAGCAGTACAATCGCTGATATAATCTCAAACACTTTCATTAGGTGATGTTATCAGTCGTGTGTTGTGTTCATCAGTTTCGCGAAACTCCCCTGCGTATGCTGTTCTACTTATAGATTGAGAACTTGAAAGATATTGTGATCCAAAGAGCAGTTGTGACAATATTACTAAACGAGCATGAGAAATATGAGTGTTTATATATGCTGTAAAAAGCAAGGCCTATAAAAACAGAAAAGTCAAATAAGCTAGCTGCGTTGGATAAAATCTGAATTATGAATTAAGAACCAGTTAGGCCTTTAAACCAGTGGATCCTGCACTAGAATTCAGCATTTGGAGCACACACATGCCCTGGTCCCGCTCCGTGATCCATTTTCGGCACCAAATTATTTTACGGTTTCGTTTACTTAGTTTTCTCATAAGATGGCCAGCTAAAACGCAGATCGCTGCTGCCGCAGACGCATATACTATATGCGAATTACGGGATCGCTCAATTTTCTATTCGTTTAAAAATAACGGAATAAAGTAGCAAACCGCAAAGGAAAATGTGGTTAGAATGAGTTTGACGTAATAGATGACAAGTCGCCATTTGACAGTTATAGTTTTTTTTTCTACCAACTGCGCATGATTTCGTACGAAATTAACTACAAAAATTTCTTTACATGTCAGACAGGATTTTAATTTGTAAATAAATTGGGAACTAAATTCAGTAATGAATTTTCTCCAAAATTTGGTACTAAATTTCGCATCGTGCCAGACGGCCTTAATGCCAATGACGTTGATTTACTTGCCGCATTTTTCGCTCGCTTCGCATTGATATCATAACTCATGGTTTGTCATTTTATTCTATTTGGGTAATTTGCTGTAAAGTTTTGAGAAGTTCTATTTTTCTCTTATTATGGTGCTGGTACCAGCACTTCACTTTAAAACGGTATTAACATCTATGCTGAATAAGGGGCGTAATTGCAGTACTCTTTGGAACCGCACGGGTATCATGTAAAAAACCTATAAAACGTAAAAAAAACTATAATCATCTTGCAAACTAGGTAGTTTTTAGGGCGCAAACAGAACGTCCATCTATGGAGGAATCACTCAACTAAACTACACACATTATTGGTTGCATATCAGGCCGAGTGGTCCTTGTCTGTAGTTTTTATCTCTGAGAAGACAGCTGGTTGAATAGCAAGCTCGCATCTGTATGATTATGTATATTGGTCTGCATGTATATAAAATCAGTGATATTTGCTGTGTGAGAAGATCATTACTGAATATGCTGCCAATATATATTGACTGTGTCCGACGGGTTATTTTTATGTTGTTCAAAGTTATAAATTACGAAAAACTGAGGAGAATTACGGGAAATCATCACCGCGCCCGCGTTGTGTGTAATTACTGTTAGCATGTATATGGCTTATAATTCGTCAATGTACAGTGAATATAATTATTTCTTATCTCATTTTTGATATACAGCAAATTTGTTTATGTAATTTACAGAATGGATGACTGCGCAACTAATTTCTAGCTTTGAATCTCAATTAAGTGTATTTGAGACAAGAACCCAATCTAATTATCATCAACACATACAACTTACAGCCTAGACATCCAGTAATGTCATCTCAGAAGCAGATTTTACATCACATCAGAGCCAAAGATTGATAAGCCTTATGACGTTCAGGCAACACGTACAACTAAATGCTAAGTTATCTTGTATAAAAACCTACATAATGTCAAAAAAACAGCATAATGTCAAAGAAAATCAATATAACGTCACTTTTCAAGATACATGATACCCGTGCCGATCAAACTGAGAGGTTGTCGATCAATGACAGCGACAAATCTCACTTGCCGATATCGTGACGTCACGCCAATAGCGTTGCGTTTCGATATTTTAAATGTGTTCCGTATTATTCTCATTTTTACAAGTTTTTATGTAACTTGACCTATTTGACAAATCTTGCAACTGAATTTTGAACCAACTAGTCTTGAACAATTGAGCTGACATTGTGTACACGTTTACAAGTTCCATAGTCATCCCAATACTGAAAGAACTTGATGAGGGAAACATAATAAGCAAAGTGACGTCAAAATACAACTGCAAGTTCGCCCACTGTAATGGGACCACAATTTTTCAATCGTCTATCAGATGATATAAAACTAAACACCAGAAGGAAATCCTTTAAGAAAGAACCTAACAGTTTTCTCTTGGAGAACTGTTTTTATAATCTGTCAGAGATTTTGTAGTTTTTTCGGGAAACTTTATGAATCACCTTTATCTTTTAGTCTTAGAATTTATTGTACAGAAAATTCATATACAGAGATGTCAGCCTATGGAAAATAAATTGAATTGAATTCTAAATTACATATGGCGATTACTGCAAATTATCGATTTATTATTATATCATTTATATCTATCAAAATTCTATAATACAAATAAAGTAAGAAGTTTTTTGGAGTCCTATTAACAAAATTATATGGAAATTACCAAACTAGTTATCTGACATCATAGATGCTAAAACGTAACAAATAAATGAAATAAAATTCTGCATCTTTCATTTATCTTCGAAAACAATTGGAATCACGAAACTTTCTATTTGCCATTTTCTTAGTTACCTAAATGCACAATGCCTCAATTTAACCGACTTCGTATCTCTTACCGTTTCCGACATTCCAATGGTGAGAGTCGAATTTGAAACACCCGGTAGACGGGTCAGACAGGCAGCCCCACTAAAATGAATGGAATGATTTCCGTGTATTTACATGTCGGATAACATCCCGAAAACACATCTAATTTTCGAAATCATTCGCAATTACAATACTTCCTCGTCAGAGGCGTGGAAGTAAAAATGCTACATCACAAGTAAACAATATTTATATTTTAATGCCAGTTTGAATTACAGTTAAAAAACAAGGGTTATTTAAAGAAAATGATGATTTCGCAAAACCAACGGCGTATAATTTTTCGTTAAACATATAGTTTAAACACTCTGTATCATGTGAACAAACGAATGATTCCCAGACCCATGAAATATTATGTTTTTTGGATATTATGTGACATGTATATCAGGAAAAACTGTCACCATTTTCCGTCCCTCTGTCTTTCAGTCTCTCCGCTAATCTTATAACCGCTTATAACTTGAAAAGTATCGCTCGGATTTCAATGAAACTTCGTTGTTTGACGTTTCAGGGAATCCTGACCATTTTTGAAAAAAAAATAGAGGGAAAAAAACCTGGGGGTGGGGGTTGTAAGAGGGATCGGAGGATTTATCTCAATTTGTGGTGCTGGTACATTTAAACGTTCCCATCATTGGTCATTCTACGCACCTATTAGGCATATTTCACACATCATACATTTGTCTGTACATTAGTCCTGAAAAATATTCTCGGGAGACGGATCGCATACCTATCGGCCGTGATGATCGTTCTGGTCTAGTATGGAATCACACGTATTTCTACGCTACTACGGTTGCCACGTCTATCGGAGTTAGGCATCGGGGATAGGTGACGTTTCCAGATGCGCTATTGGTAGGACAGGGAAAGAATGTCTATGGCCTAATATTGTATGGACCTGTTTGACTAACTTTTTTCTTGACGCCATTTTTTACGTATTGGATCTGCCTTTTTGTCTTATTTCATCATTGAACGGCTGTGATGTGGTCTTTATCATATTTTCACAATGTTTTTCAGGTTAAGCCTCTGGAAGTTGAGGCTGTGGCTGAAGATGTAAAACAGGAAGAACCGGAGGAAAAAGTAGCGGAAGAAAAGGAACCTGAAAATGTCGAAGAAAAACCTAAACCGAAAATTGACGTGTTGGATCTTCCCGCGTTGAACTTATCCGAAAGCGATAGCAGCGATTCGGAGACAGACGAAAAGGATGATGAAAAACTCGTTGAAGAAAAGAGAGAAACTAAAGAAGAGACGGCGAGTGAAACAGCGGCCATCGAACCTAGTAGCGAGCAGACTGTAAGTGAAGCGACGGAAGTGCCAACAGAATCGGTGATTGAAGAGCAACCGAGCGAGATCGAGGAAAAGCAAGAAGCTGAAGATTCCACATCTGTAATCCAGGATATCTGGGATAACTTCAAGAATTACCAGGTAAGGCGCTTATTTTAGACTAGGTTGTAGGTTTTCTCTATGTCCATACGTCACTCCTCCAGGCATATTCAAAGTTTGACTTTTCATAACAGTGTTTCTACGATAGAAAATATTTTGAATATTGACGAATCCAGAACAAAGTTCTGTGGGGAAGGAGGGGGGGGGAGTACATACGGGTTAATCCAGCCTCTGAGTGAGGGGGTCACTTAGTCACAGAAAATTAATAGTCCTGTCACATAAGTGCATCTGAGAGCGAATGTTCTTGTAACGATTGAAGAGCGCGGGAGGTCAAAAACATGTTAGTGGTCAATCTTTATTTACCCCAGGCGGCGCTAGATCCACTCTTGGTCGAGCTTACATTTCACAAAATGTACAGCATGCTGAATTATACAGGGTGGCCAATATGTAACTGACTGGTTTGCATCTTGAATATTAGTGAAATAAAATAAAATACGTCATTTTTTTCTTCTTATTAAAACTTAGAAATGATGTATGAAAAATAATATCAGACAAACGTCCGCGTCTAGAAGTCGCGCAAACCTGAGCCCTCTTGATTACACTTTCAAAATCACTTTTTGGTAGGTTTCGGTAGGAATATATAAAAAAGTCAGGAGCCATTAAATCCGGTGACCTTGGTGATGTCACGAAATCGAGAAATTAAACGTCCCGGAAATATTTTTCGTAAAAGATTCATTGTTACCCTAGCTGTGTGACAAAATGCTTCGACCTGCTGGAACCACATGTTTTGCAGTTTAAATTGTTGGATTTCAGCTCGCCAGTGACAGTCAGAGAATTACCTGCAGCATCTTCAAAGAAGTAAGGTCCAATGACACCTCGATACCAAACACCGCACCAAACTGTGCCTCTTCGGGGATGTAGTGGTCGTTGTTGGATGACACGAGGGTTATCTAATGCCCAGATATGACAATTCTGCTTATTAACAAATCCGTTCATATCTAAGTGTGCTTCATCGCTTATTATCAGTTGTCTGTAAACATCGTTATTTTGGGTATTAAGCTGTAATATTGCATGACTGTAGTGTCGGCGACTTTCATGGTCACTAGGCTGTATTTCTTGGGCTAACTGAATTTTATATGGCCACAAATGCAAGTCTTTTTTCAAAATAGTGCATAATGACGTGCGACGAATACCCAGTTCTTGAGATCAATGTCTGGTAGACGTCTCAGGGCGCTCCACTACACTTTCACGAACTCTCTCGATATTTTACAGAGTACGAACAGCTCTAACATGGCCCGACCTTGGCAAATGTTTAACTTCACCTGTTTATTCAAATTTCCGCACCAACTGACGAATGGTGTTGACACTGGGCACATTATATCGACCAAAATCTTCTGAATCGTTACAACAATCGACTCATTACTTAAGTAAAACGTTTTAACAATATGGACGCGTTGTGGGATCGTCTAGCGCTTCATGATGAATTGGCACATGTGCTTTAAACAACTACTACGGCGCCACCTACTGAAATGCGTTTATCAAAAATGCAATTTAAATCAGTTATAAGTATATTGATCACCCTGACAGTTGTGAGGTCCTGGGGAGGCTTGGGTACGAAAGCCCCTCCCTCCCATGAATATGCCTTGATTTTGAAGACTGTTTTGTTGTGTAAAACTTGGGAGGCAGAATGGAAGAAGAAAGCGAGAAAATAAGAGGAAGAGCAAACAAGAGAAGCAATCAGTCTGGCGTCTTTATTTTAGCATTATTAATTGCCTTTGGGCATTTTAAATTAATATTTCTGATCGATTATTACTGGAAGCAGTCTATGCAGCTTAGTTTTATTCATTAAGCCATCTATATTCTTATTTTTACCAGGCTAGTAAAGAGAAACTGGATAACATGTTCAGTACCGAGGAAAAGGCGGAAAAACCTCCAGAGGAGGAAATACCGATCCCGATGATAGATGAAGAACCGACGGTGCAGATAGCTCTGATGGATCACGATTACTGTTTGGAGCCCGAGCAGAAAACGGACGCCAGTTTGATAGAAGTTAAACCAGCGCTGGAGATGAGAGAGAGTGTCGACCATGACTATTGCACTGCTAAAGCAGGTACAGTATAATTAGTTTCTTAAGTACTATATTTTTACGTATTTCATTTTCTACTGCTCCTCAATTTATCCTCTATAAAATCATGAATTGACTCTCCAAGATGCCCAACCATATGCTGTATTTGGACGTCCACCTACAATGTCCATTGTCACAGCTGTGTTGCCGAGTAGGTTCACACCAATCCCCTCAGAAGTAATAAAAATAGACTACATTTTGCTTTTCGAGAAAATTGCAACTCGGTCAAGCGTTATCAAGGCTGGAAAACGATATCTTATATTGAAATCCCTTGATCATACCGACGATATACAGGGTGATTTACAAGTCTTGGCCAAAAATGAAACATCATACACAGGACCGCATTTTTTTCTCGATGGCTTCATTAAAAAATAATTTATCAAATAATCTTCAAAACCGACAACTGGAATGAACTAAAATTTGGTGTATGAATTTACCTAAGTATTGTCCACATTCAAAAGTCTTTACTCAAAATCAACGTGCACCACTGGCGGAGATACAGGGGATTAGTACCATTATTTTTTCAAATAAAAACAGTACGCCACTGTACGTGCACTTTTTCGAATTTTACCTCCAATTTGCTAAAAATAATTACTCTTGTGGATTATTTTCGTAAAAATAAAAAAAAAACATCCGGTTTTTGAACTGCCTAAGGTTAGTAGAACTGGGAAAAGTCTCATAGTCTCATGTAGATTATTCCGCCATATCGATGCGCTAGGGACAAAGGAGCTGTCGTATCGGCCAGTTTTGGATGTGCGAAGTTATTTTCAGGCAGGTACAACTTTCAATTAGGTTGTAATATGATGATCAATGCAATTACGTATCAACATGTATTTTACGTATTGTTATCAAACTCGTATTCAACCATTGTTTTAGGTGGAACGGTAGCAGAAAAACCTCCACCAGAACCCCTACCGACGGAATTGCTACAGACCGAAGAGAAAGAGAAAAAAGACAGTTCGTCAAGTAGTTCCAGCGACAGCGATTCGTGTTCGTGCGGTTCCAATTGCAGTTGTAGTTCGAGTTCGAACAGTTCCAGTTCCAGCTCGGATAGTTCCGGATCAGATAGCTCCACCGAGGAAGGTAGACAGAAGCAACAGGCTAGAAGGCAGAAGAGAAGAGAACGAGCGAAAAAATTGAAGGTGAGTTAACCTTAAACAGAGTGCCTCAATAAAATAGGTTTCCAGACTTTTACTGGTCCTTGGTTTATCAGGAAGTGACAAACAGAAATGTTTCTTCTATAAGTACCAAAGCTACGGGATACAGATTTAATGATTATGTAATCACAGCCCTTGATATAAAACAACATATTTGTGCCCTTTTCTTAGATTTCCCGCGGTTTTGAGTATCTTGATATATACGTGTATGGAGTGCAGTTATGAAGTTCGGGGACTGCCATTACAACTTTATCAATTATACCTTCAAGGAAGAAAGCAATATGTTCGTGTTAATGATACAAGCAGTGATGCGACGGTTACTGTTGAAATTCATTTCTTCAACAAGAAACCACGCATGGATATTGATAGCTTTTCAGATCAAACTGTCTTCTTAGGAACTCATGTTGATAGTAAGTTAAGCTGGCAACCACAAATAAATCACATTTGCAACAAAATTAACAGTGCTTATTTTGCAATATTGAAATTAAAGCCTAACATCCATCTAAACTCACTCTTAGATATGTACTACGCGCTAGTTTATTCTCACCTCACTAACAGTATAATCATATGGGGACAGGCAACAATGATTAACAGATTATTCATCCTGCAGAAAAGAGTACTTCGATTAATTTTTAATATTAATAAGAGGGACTCTTGTAAAGAAATATTTAGACGCTATAATCTGCTTACATTAACTTCCACCTATATCTACAAATGTGCCATCTTCGCATTTGAACATGGCAATAGATTTGTTCGTAACAACGCCATTAATAGTCAATACAACACTAGAATAGGGCATGATCTGAGTATACCGACACATAACTCTGCCCTATTCCAAAAATCTCCCACTCTAGCGTGCACTAAGGTATACAATAATCTGCCGAGTGAGTTGCGGAGAAGCACTAATATCCTTGCGCTGAAAAATCATCTCAGGAAATATCTGGTTGAAAAATGCTATTACTCTCTACATGAGTTTTACTAACACATGAAAGTATCTGTTTTTTAAATTCTTTTAAGCTGTTAATCATTTCGTTATCAGTGAATTGTCTATTATCGTGGAGTAAATGTATTTTAATTTCACTTTTTATTCGAGTTTTAACGAAAGTATGTATGTTTTCTTTTTAAGCTTTTAACCATTTGTCCTCACTGCTCGATGTTTATTGTGTTTATATATTATGTATTTCTAACAGATTTTCCTACCGCTTTTCTTTTCTTTGTATCAGCTTCAATGATTTTTACCGGCTAGACGAACATTTTTTGTGATAAAAAAAGTCGCTGTATATGTATATATTTTTACCGTTACAGATTGAACACATTACGATTCTTGCACTGTACCTGTACCTATAATGTGATTTAACCTTTTAAAATGTTTTGTAATTGTAATGTCCTTATTTATTTTATAATTATAAGTATTTTTCTGGCATATTTGCTCAAACGCATATATGACCCTCAAATTGATATTGACAAGTCTTATATCATGTAACATGATCTAATAGGACAATAAACTATCTATCTATCTATCTAACGAGGCAGGTGTTCCCCAAATATCTGTCCTGGGGCCTTTTCTTTTTTACTATATGCGAATGATCTCAATGAATAAGACTGAACTCTTTCATAATAGTGAAGCAATATACACAGCCACACAAAAATGGCCGGTAAACAACGGTGTTATATTAAATATAGATAAGACCCAATTAATGAAATTTTGACTAAAAGACAACAAGGATTTCATTATTTCTAATAACGTTTCAACAATTGAAAAATCTCTTTCTGTTAAGTTGTAGGGTATTACCATTGATGTAACTTGGGAGCCACGTTGAAGAATCACTGTATCATAAATTACGTAAACGTGCTTATGGTATAATTTTTTTATCAAATCACTGCAGTAAACAAATTTTACTTACTCTATAGTCTATACTACTCAAGCTTTAACTGTCACTTGCGCTATGGCATTTTAAGCTGGGGATGCAGCTCATCTATAGATAGGGTGTTTCTTCTCCAGAACTATATTATTAGAATAATCGCAACTTAATTGGTGTGAATCTTGCAAGAATTATTTTCGATTCTTTAGAATTTTAACAGTAGCTTGTACAGGGTGCGTCATCAACACGCTTTTTACGAAGTGAAATCGATTTTTTATTTATAAATGAAGGTTGGTTTATGCCATTTATGTAACTCAAATATCTTTCTTCAACGAAAACGTTTTTAAAAAGATTTATTTTTGAGAAAGACCAAATACAATGATGTTAATTGAATGAGTTCTGAATCGAGACTGACTGCAAAGTTCATTATACAAACCAAAGTAAAGAACAAATGAAATACAATACTGTAACTGATAAGAAAGGCACGTGGAGGCAAAAGTCCTTGTTCAGCATATTCTTCTCTGTAGACTGGTACATAACTCCTCCACCCCTAGAATGAAGCTTCCCCTGGAAGGTGAATTTGTTTCTTCTTATATCTTGAACTGGAATCTTCTCTTCTAGTGCGTTTTGTGGGACTTGGACCTTCTTCTTTCATCTCGGCTAATTCAATGTCGATTTCTAACTTGGATGCTTTCTTGTTTCTCCATCTTCTATATAAAATTATGCAGCAGATGCTTGAAAATACGAGATATAGTAATATGGTCCAAATACTGGGTTTTCCAAAATTTTCTATGGAATTTTCTTCTAAAATTGGTAACATTCGATTAACTTGTAATTCTGGTAAATTTAACGTTTTCAGAGTAATTTGTGTCTCTGGGATATTTTGTTTCATAAAATGGAAATCCATTTTGTCAGCTACGAGGGGCTTTCCATAGGTTTTGTCTTGAAAGATAATTTCATTGTCTTGGAATGATATTTGGCATTCACTGGCTTTGACTAAGAAAATGCCAAGTAATGACTTTGTATCGATTTGTTCCTTGCATTTAATTTTCAATTTTTCTTCGGTGAGAAATACAGCTAAATACTGGTTAATTTCGGGAATAAATTCAATGTGATTTTCTTCAATCTGAAGCTTCGTGTATCTACATGGTTCTGTATGATCTTCTGTAATTATTGACTTCTCGCATTGGGCTTTGTGATTGGCTAATATACGATTAGGGCATTGATAGATTTTACCTTGGGTACAAATCTCGTGCAGGGGTTTGATCTCATTTCGATCAGATTTTAGCAAATACTTATAATTTGGGATAATAGTGACGAATTCTGATTTGTGCATCAGAGTCGGTATAGGTAACATATAATAAAGATCGAAATGTTCAGGATAATCTATAGGAATAGATAGAAAATAACTTATTTGATTCTGATCGATTTTACAACTGATAGAAATAATAGATTCATAATCTAGCATATTTTCATACTTTACTTCAAATGGTAATTCATTTTTATAAAATGTGGATATCTTACGGAGTTCTTGAAATAATTCTCTAGTCCTTATTATACTGGGATGCATGGTTTTCAATTTGCAAAAAGTTATCGAATTTTCGATATCTTGTAAAATATTCAATATGGCATTATAAAGGATAATTAATTGATTGATAATGTCCTTCGCTGAAAGAATATCCTGGTTTGTTGTCTGGTTCAATAAAATATGTTTCAATTGTAAAATGTTATTTCTTAATGTCATCTCATTGTGCTGTATATCTTGAATAGTCCCGTTAAATTTTGCGACAAGTTCATTGCTTACTGAATATTGCATTCTAAGCTGATTTTGAATATGATGCTGATTTTCTTGTAAATGAGATAAAATTTTATCAATACGTTCTCCATCGTCGGAGTCTAAATTTCCTGTTATTGTTTTTACTACATAGCCTATGCCATTAAAAAGTCCTCTCTTATTGCGAGTCTTTTGAGAATGAGATTTAATGTATTCGATTTTCTCTTGAATCAAGCTCCTTATATAAGATACTATCTTACTATAATTTTCTAGCTCGTTATTAATCTTAGAATGGTTTCTGTAACTATAGTTAAGATTACTGTATTGAATATTCAAATCTTCATATTCCTTATATAAAGGTGATAGATCATAATAGTGCACAAAACTATGTTTTGTCTTTTGTAGCCTAGCTGTGCCTAAATTTACTGGCAAAATTCCTAAATTGTTCGTTATGTTTCTTATTTCTGCTCCGCATCCGAAATAGATGAGGTATCTGAAATATTAGTAAATTTAAATTGATAAGTTTTCTTCCTGGGCCTTTTAATATTGGATAAATGGATATTTTTGGAAGTATTGGCATGTGTGGGATCTATCTCCGCTCTTTTTAATTTCTTATCTATACTAATTAATTTTTCTTGCTTATACTTATTTTTAGTTTTCTGTTGCTTCTGCTTATTCTTAACATATACCTTGTTAGGAATATCAGGCAAAACTTCACGTTTCTCATTTGCTTTATTTATAACTTTTTCTTTATTCTGTAATATCTTTTCATTTAAATTCCTATATACTAATTTCATTTTTTCCTTATGATTCTGTAAATAATTATTTAATAATTGCTTATCTATGTCTATATTAAAAGGTGATTCTGTTTCATTAACATTTACTTCTATTCTAGATAAAAAGTCCGCATTTGTGTTTGATTTGCCTTTCCTGTAAACAATGTCAAAATCATGTTCTTCTAATCTTAAGCGCCATCTTAATAATTTTGAACTAGCATCTCTAACTGAAAATAACCATTGGAGGCTTTTGTGATCTGTTACAATAGTAAACTTACGTCCGAAAATATAAGGTCTGAAATATTTCACTGCATATACGATACTTAGAAGTTCTTTTTCTGTCGTGCTATACTTTGTTTCTGAATCACTTAATGTTCGTGAGGCGTACGCTATTGGTAAATCTGAGCCTAATTTACCTTGGGATAATATTGCGCCGATTGCATAATTACTTGCATCCGTAGTTATCAAGAATGGTTTGGAAAAATCCGGATATTGGAGTATCGGATCGTTTGTCAATAAAGTCTTGCATAATTCGAAACATTTAATATAATCTGCGTCATTGGGATTAATAAT